CTTGCGCTGTGGGCTGGAAACTCTCTGTAGGGTCCTTAGAGGACTCACCTTGTTTGTTTGCTCTCTCTCAGGGATCCCTGTCCTGCACCTAGTGTCCAGTGGTTCATATATTTTGCCTGATATTTCATTGTTTTATGCAGGGTGGTCAATCTAGTTCCTGTTATTCCATCTTAGCTAGAGGAAGAAGTGACACATGTTAAAAGACTTATTTGAACAGCCCAATATAACAGTACACTTAGGATTTCAGTTAGTGCTTGACATTTCTAGTCTTTGAGGGCCGTCGATGCTAAACAGGGTATCCCTGCAGTGTGGTAATATGGTCCATGAGCACCATAGATCATTCATAATATTAGATCATAGATCATGTGGCCATAGTGCCCCTTTGTAAAGATGTAAGAGATGTTTCTATCCCAATGGCAGGTAATATTAAAAGTGTTCATTTTTATCCCAAATGAAATTCCGTGGTGAATACATTGAATAGCTTGAAAGTTTATTCTTCCTGTTACTACTATGGTGACAAGTTTAGTTAAATGTAAGGTGAAAATTTTGGGAGAACTTGCAGTTGCGGTTCCAGGAAAGTCCTCCATTATAAAGTACATGCAGAAGAGCTTTGAGGATCTTCTCGTGGTTTAGACTGACAGGCAAACATCATATTGGGAGCTTAGGTCTTAACACCCTGAGTCCCCTTTCCCATGATCACTTTGGTCTTTTTGAGGTGAAGGACTCCATGATGAGGCAGCTCAGGCCAAGTCACTTTAGAGTAAGATTTGATTTGCAAAACAGAAGGGCATGAAGTAAAACAGCAAATCCTATTATGCAGGTCGAAATAATGTGTTTCTAATAAGTTAGCAGCAATAATTCTTAACACTCTGGTAACATAGAGATATATCTATATCTAGATTTGGATGTGCTTAAGTTTTTTATAGATGTATTATAAATTCTGCTTTAGTTTTCTTTTTCTAATTCATATTTCATGGACATCTTTCTATGTCAAACATCAGTTTTAGCAGTTACGTAGTATTTCATTGCTAGTATGTACAGTAATTTACTTAACCACATCTTGATGTATATTTAAATTTTTTCTGACTTTTTGATGTATTGCCTATGCTTTAACTAGCATAATTGTAAATTAAAATTTTCCATTTATGAAACTGATGTTTTAAACATTAAATTGGTAGGCATGGTATTGCTGGGAGTGCATATTTTGAATTTTGAAACACTAATTGCCTCTTAGAAAGGTTTGTCAATTAAAATTCCCTCCATACTCGAATTAGAGCACCCTTTTCCCTTTCTGGGCTTAGTTATTCTTTTTAATCTTCACAAAATTAATAGTCAAAAAATAAGAACTTAATGTTTTTATTTTTCAAGTGTTTATTTATTTGCTTATTTTTTGAGGTTAAGCAATCTTTAATATAGAGGACATGTATTTTTCCTTTCATGTTCTGTATGTTTTTTTGTCTTTATTCATTGTCCATTGTTCTCACTCATTTGTAAAGCTGATTTTAGTTAATGTTGACACTCTGCCTCTCATATATTCAAATATTTTTCCAGTGTACGGTTTGTTCCTCAACCTTGTTGATGGCATTTTGCTGTTGTAGAGTGTGAATCTTTCAGATAAACAACTTGTTTCTTTTACCTTTTGGAGTCTGATTTTCCCGACATGTTTTGTCGGCGCTATACCAAGGACAAGAACGAGGGGGCTGATCTGCGTCATTGCAGGCAGTTGCTTATTATTTTTAAATTCTCCAAAGACAGTGTGACTTCAGCTCTCAGCCTTCAGCTCTCACCACCCACCTTCGGAGAATGATTAGGAAGGCCTTTTGCATCCCAGTACTATCAACTTAGTTATGAATATGTCTTCACTACTTTCATGCATATATATTTATGTTCAAACTTTTGGCTTATCAAAAGTTTATTAGGTGTAAGGAGTGATGCAGCTACTCCTCTCTTTCTTAAATAGGCAACTCACCAAAAAAAAAAAAGTCTGTCTTTTCCCTGCTGCTCTGAATGCCATCTTTATCATATCTTTCCTACATATTTCTGTCCAAGTTCTCCATCTAGTTTCAGTGTTGCGTAGATTTTGGTAGAGTATCAAGGATTTTAATTATGTTATTTTATAGGACAATCTGATTTAAACTTTGTTTACTCAGCATTTTTGAAATTCATGATTTTCAAGTGGATATTCTACCTTTTTCAGAGAAACAAGTTACAGCAATATATTATGCATTTTTGTGTTTAAAGGTATGGATTGGGGATAAATGTCTCATATTATTCTGCATGCTTTGTTGATTAAATGTCATTTGATTGCAATCTGTGACAACATATTTGATGCAGACCAGCCCATTTGATGCATTACAGTCAGATAATCATTCAGTGTTTACTATTTGGGGGAGTTTTTTCCTAAAGTCCTCTACTGCTCCATAGATAACTTTAGAAGAAATTGTTAGTGCAATCAAGAAATTAGAAAATCATTAGAAATTCATTGGGTGAATTTCAGGAATCACTTAAAAGTGCCTTATATTGTAGTTGAGATACTTCTTGAATATATAAATAAGGATTATGTTCTCCTGCTGGGGATTTTGTCAATGAAGATATTTATTTTGAAAGAGAAGATAAGAAGGTTAAAATCATTTCCATGTTGAAATAAATACTTCTTTCCATAGCCTCACAATTATCTTTCTTAGTGTCCCCCGACTCACTGAGAAAAAAAATTCTAGCCTTCTGCGTAGCTCTAACATCTGTGGATTGATGCCTAGAGGGATAAAAACTGTTGTAAGAGGATATGTGCCTTGGATGAAAATTTAGACTAAGTGACCCTTGAATTTTTCTGCTCTAAGACCCCTTGATTCCAAATCCTAGTGTTTCTAACAGTAAATTTACCAAGGGAAAAAATATGTTGAACGTTTTAATAGTCTCTGAATAGTACCTTGTTATAATAGATACCCCCAAAATGTGTTGGATGAATAATAAATAATTGGATGAGATTAATATTAGCCTCCAAAATCCCATTTAAATTCTAGAAAGGTAATCAAATATTATTGATGAACTAGCTAATGTGTGAGTAACTCATTATTTGTAAGTACTCTTGACTTGACTGTTCATTATCTTTGTGGCCTTAGGAAAACACATAACATTTTTTAAAAGATTATGTTATTCATACAATGGAAAGTCCTCATCTGCCCACCACAGGTGATTTTTGTGCATAGCAAATGAAATACTTAAGAAAGTTTCTATAAAATGCTATAGTAATATGAATTAGGAGCTGTTGTTATATGTTTACATTATGTCACAGATATAGTTGATTAGGAATCTATTTAAGAATTGTCTCAATTACTTACACAATTCTTTAGCTTAGGGTGTGAGTATGATACTATGGCTATGTAGGAAAGTGTCCTTTTTCTAAGAAAAAGGCTATTATATATGTCTCTCTCTATGTATAGACAGGCATACATACAGACAGACAGATTTGGGAATATGGTGAATGTGTGTGTGTGTGGAAAGAGAGAGTATGAACAAATGTGGCAACATGTTAACTGGAGAATGTTAACAGTACAATAGGGGCTATCATGCTCAAATCTGACATCCCATCTTTCTGATTCTTCATGTCCTTCCAGCCTGGTGAAGGACTGCTGAACTTCATCTTTTGATGGTAAACTCTGTCAAACAGAACTCTTTCCAAATTCAATCATTTACTTCTTGAAGGCTATGAATTCATACTTTATTTCCCTGGCTCTATATTTAAACTAAGATAACATTCATGTATGTTCATTATGGTGGCTAACTTAACATAATAAAAAAAATCCCTTACATAGCCAAAAAAAAAGAAAGAAAGAAAATTTCTAAGTATAAAAAATTAAAATAATAATAAATAAAAGCTAATAATTTTAGCACATGGAAATAATCATTATTACATTTAGATGTATTTCTTTGTTAACTTTTTATTTTGAAAATGTTTAAGTCTACAGAAAAGTTGAATGAATAGCACTATGTACACCCATATGCCCTTCATATAGATTAATTGATTATTGACTATTTGCCACACTGTTCTTTCTTTCTCTTTCTTTGTATATGAATTTGAGACTTTGAAATTAAATTGCGGACATCATGCTGCCATGCCTAAATATACTGACATATATTTCCTTAGAATAAGGATGTTTGTTTACATAATCACAATACCATTATCATAGCTAAAAAAATTAACTCAGTTGATTTTTTTCCACACATTTGATCACTTTCTGTCCTTGCAGAATTATATCATACATTTTCTTTTCATTTACATTATAGCATGTCATCTTAAAAATGATTTTTAAGTTAATACATAGCGTACATTATTTAACTAATTTCTTTTGATAGTTGGATTTCATTAGATTGTTGATATTTTTACTCTTGTGAATCATGTTGAAATTACTCCTTTTTCTTGAAGAATTTAGAAGTGATTTATCTCTTTTGTGAAATGAAAGGTTTTATTTCCCTTTAAGAGAATTTCAGTCATGAACCAATACCTGAGAGAGAGGTGTTGTTTTATCTTAGTCATAGTTTTATTTTCATTTTTCCATTGGGTAGAGGGAGTAGAGTCACAAGTTCTGGAAATAATGAAGGCATTGAACTTCAGTCAAGTTAAAGTGACTTGGAGTGAAGTCTAGAAATCTCGCCCTCCTGACCTCTCCTTTGTTTCAAACACTTCCCTGGGAATAGTTATTTTTAGGAATGAGAAAAATGATGTAGGTTTTTTCCCCTCTATTAGGCTTAATTTCTTTAAATATGAAACATTAATAATTATTGAATGTTTATCATTATTTTTGAAGAGCAATTTTGGGGTGAAATGTCAGCACAGGGCTGTTAATTGGCTTGATCTGTATATCTCCTTATAGAGAGGACATGGCCTGATTTAGAACTCATCTCCTTGACTCTTCATCAGCATATGTACCTAAAAATATGCCTCCTTGGGTGTATGAGCCCTGGTGTTGGGCATATTTATTAATATATCTGCTTACTTTCAGGGTTTCGTGCACCTGAAGTTGCTAAAGGAAATGTTATTTATAACCAGCAGGCTGATGTTTATTCATTTGGTTTACTACTCTATGACATTTTGACAACTGGAGGTAGAATAGCAGAGGGTTTGAAGTTTCCAAATGAGTTTGATGAACTGGCAATACAGGGAAAATTACCTGGTAAGTTTTATTTTATCTACAATAAAGATGATTATTTTTTATATCAGCAGCTTTATTTCCAGGTTGTTTAATTGTATAGTTAATTCACTGCACAACTGATGAGTTTTTGTTTGGTGCATGAATATTCTTAAATCCTGCGACACATTAATAAAAATCGTGTAAGAAAGATAGCGGTTTTAGGCTTTTAAAAAAAATCCCAAATTAACATTGATGTATTTGGTATTATATTTAGAATAATATTCAGAAAAGAAAATTGCTGTTAGAGCTCCATGCTTAGTGACTTCTGTGCTTATAAAGAGTAACTATGTGCTCATTAGCTTGGAGTATTTTCCTTTTCTTGGAGGGAGATAATTTATATGCAGGAATGGAAGCTTCAATTATTTATAATAATTATTTTTAGTAGTAAATATTAATAAGAATTAACAAATGATTGTCTAATGAGATCAGATCTCATTTTGAATGGTTGTCTCATGCTTTTAAGAAATTCTAGGACATTGTCATTCATCCTTGACTATTACTTCAGTTCCCCCTACAAAGTACTCTTTTAAATTTTTCTCATATTTTCTGCTTTCACCTTCACTTAAGAAATATTTTTGAGTGTATGCTGTGTGCCAAGTACAGGGAATATAGCTTTGCCTATCTCCTTAGGGGGGACCTTCAGATTCCCAGCAAAAGGAAATTTATTATTATTTGGATGAACTTTGAACACAATCTGGGTCATTGCCCTAATTTCACTAGTTAGCTGTCCAGTGACAGTTTCCAGGTCTCTGGTTTATACCAGCCAGAAGAATGGCACACCTCTTGTAAAAAAGAAATGTACACAAACCGATTGTGGGGGTATGAAGATTAAATGCTTGCCAACTTCAAATATTAAAATAAAAAACTACTTCCATAGAAGTCTAATTATTATATGAACAAAAGTATCTTCAAAGTATATGTGAAATGCAGGTGTACAATGAAAAATCTATTATTTTATTCAATCAGTATTTGTCTTTTTTTATATAATAAAAAATCAAGATGTCTTTTTTGATGCCTCTAGTAGAGATAAAACTAACAAAATTATCTTTAAGTTTGTGATATAAGTAGATCCAAACTAAATACAGGATTATGGAGATCAGTGTTTTCTTTTGCATGGTCTGGACCTCTAATATACATTGAAAGGAAATGAAGCAATTGTTCTGCTTTGTCTAATGTTATAGCATGTGTTTTTGAATGTTTTAGATCCAGTTAAAGAATATGGCTGTGCCCCATGGCCCATGGTTGAGAAGTTAATTAAAAAGTGTTTGAAAGAAAATCCTCAAGAAAGGCCTACTTCTGCCCAGGTACTCTTATAGTCAAAATTTATCAATATTTTATACAGAACATCCAGTACATATATGTACACATATATAATCTTCACACACACACATATATATTCAAATATATAAATAAACACACACATACACACATATGACAAACAGTGATAAAGCAAAACTTCTCTATTCCCCACCACACAGGGCTCAAAATAAAGAGCACTGATAACACCTGGGAGTCCCTGTATGCTTCTTCCTGATTGTATCACTTTCCTTTCCCTATAGATGTAGCCACTTTGCTGACTTTTGAGATAATTCTTGCTTTTCTTTTCCTTATGTTTGCTACCCAGTTTAGTGTTCCTGTATTCATTTTTTATTTAAAATAGAATTATAGTCATGTCATGTTCTGAGATATTTTCAGTTGTTCTCCCAGCCTTATTTTGTAAGCTTTATGGAGGTTTTAAACATAGCTGTTGATTATTTTCACCGCAATTCTATTCCACTGTTTGAATGAGCAACAATGTATGTACCCATGAGCATGTCTATGGGTATCGGTATTGTTTCCAGTGTTTTGCTATTCTGAACATGGTTGTACCTGTGTCCTAGTGCAGGATATATGAGAACTGCTTTGTGATATATACCTAGGAGTTGAATTGCAGAATCATAAGATACGTGAATATCCATATTGTTTTCTGAAGAAGTTGTACCAGCTTAACACTTCAATCATCTGTATGTTAGGGTAGCCATTTCTCTATATATTCCCCCTAAATGTAGTACTATCTGAGTTCATAATTTTTCCAAAATATGTTGTCTTGTAGATTGATTTATATTTTCCTAATTACTAATAAGGATGACCATCTCTTTATATGTTCATTGGTTATATATATGTTTACTCCTCTGGGAAATGCCTGTTCACTACTTTGCCTATTTTTCTATTGGATTATTTGCATACAAATGAACTAAGAAAAAGAAAAAAGAAATACTAATCCTTTATTGGTTATATATTGCAAATTTCTTTTCCCAGTCTGTGGTTTGCCTTTTTATTTCCTGCAGAGTACCTTTTGATGAACAGAATATCTTACTTTTAATGCAGATAAATTTTAACAACCCTTTTTATGGTTATTACTTTTGGGGTCCTGTTTGAAGAAGTCCTTATTTCTTCCAGAATCACAAAAATATTTACCTATGGTTTCTTCAAAATGGTTAAAAGTTTTGCTTTGGCACTTAAGTTCTTAACCCATCAAGAATTGACATTTTTATCTGAATCCAATTTCCTTTTTCCTATATGGATAACTAAATTTTCCAGCTTCATCGATTAAATAGTTTCTTCCTTTTTTTTCTATTGATCTCACCCCACCCTGCCATTTTCACTCCATAATTTGTCAGATACACACACATCCACACACATGTTCTCTTGCATTGGTCAATTTGTCTCTTCTTCCTCTAATACTATCCTGTCTTAATTCCTGTCACTTTACAAGTCTCCTTTCTTTACTTATTTTTCTCCTCTAGGAATGTGTTAGCTATTCTTCAGCTTATATATATATAAATTTTAAAATCACTTTGTCAACTTTTATGAAAAACCCTACTGTGATTTGGTTTGGACTTGCAATGAATCTGCAGATAATTTGGGGAGGATTCTATCTTTATGATATTAAGTCGGTCTATGCTTTTTATTTATTTATTTATTTTATTATGTTATGTTAATCACCATACATTACATCATTAGTTTTTGATGTAGTGTTCCATGATTCATTGTTTGTGTATAACACCCAGTGCTCCATTCAATATATGTACCCTCTTTAATACCCATCACCAGGCTAACCCATCCTCCCACCCCCCTCCCCTCTAGAACCCTCAGTTTGTTTTTCAGAGTCCATCGTCTCTCATGGTTCGTCTCCCCCTCCGATTTCCCCCCCTTCATAAATCGTTCTATTCTTGAATGTGAGTTATCTTCCTATTGATGTTTTCTTAAGTGTCTTTCAATATAGTTTTATAATTTTGCATACAGGCCTTTTGCATTTTTTCTCAAACTTTCTTGCTGCAAATTGCTTTAAATTCAATTCCTCGCTTGAGATTTTTTTTTTTTTCACTACCCAGGTGATGGGAATCTGGTCTACAAATCTTAAGAACAAGCTTGTGGATAGCAATTTCTTAGGGTTCTTTTCCCTCCTCCCCCTTTGCCTGTAAAGTCCCAGGCATCTTTCCTTGTACCAGAGAAAGTGGAAGCATGGGGCGGCTTTATTCCTGGTTCTCATTTCCTTGGAATATGTAGCCCTTTGGGGTCCCAGCTTTATGGGAACAGATCTTTATTGGACTTCACTTTGGGCAGCCTCTAGATTTAAACTTCTTTCTCACTGACCGACAAGATACCGAAAACCACATATCAGTTTGCCTTCAATAGACAAATGCCTTTAAGGAAATATCTGACTTTAGGGTTCAATTGACCTCTCTGTCTTTCACTGGATTCTGTCTTTCACTAATATTTTGGCCTGGTAAGTCCTTAAGATGTTGTGAGATCTTTAATATTTTTAAGAGATTAAAAAAATAATTTCCTTAGCATTTTAAGTTGCTTTTAGATGGGTGGTTTGTCCAACTAACCTTTTCCACCATATTATCAGAAATAGATTGCTTACTACGTTTTGAACTGAAACAGATTTTAATAGATCAAAACAAGAGCCCTCTTTATGTTGTGGACTCTTGATTTTGTATCATAATTCGTTGAAAAATATTTGTTCAACTTTAAAATTTCTACTCAAAAATAGCTGAGTACATACACTGACTTTAACAAACATTATGTAATTATCTTGGCTACATTCCCTACCTTCCCCTTTCCCCTAGTTTTATTAAGACATAATTGACATAGACATTGTATTAGTTTTTAGGTGTACAACATGATGATTTGATACATATATATTATGAAGTTATTACCACAATAAGTTTAGTTAACATCCATTACCTCACACATTACAATTTTTTTTTCTTGTGATAAAAACTTTTAAGATCCACTCTCTTAGCAACTTTCAAATATACTGTATAGTATTGTTAACTTTAGTCACCATGCTATACATTACATTCCTGTCTTATAACTGGAATTTTGTACCTTTTGACCCCCTTCACCCATTTTACTCACTCCCATGCCCTGCCTCTGGCAACCACCAGTCTGTTTTCTGTATCTAGAAGCTTGTTTGGTTTTGTTTATTTTATTTTATTATATTTTAGATTCCACGTATAAGTAGATACCACATAGTATTTGTCTTTCTCTGATGTATTTCACTTAGCATTATGCCCTCAAGGTCCATCCATGTCACAAATGGCAGAATTTCCTTCTTACTTATGGCTGAATAATATTCCATTGTATATACATATACATATATATCATATTTTCTTTATTCATTCATCCATTGATGAACACTTAGGTTGTTTCCACATCTTGGCTACTGTGAATAATGCTGCAATGAACATGGGGGTGAAGATACCTTTTAAAGATAATGATTTCATTTCCTCTAGGTATATACCCTGAACTGGAAGTTCCATGGTAGTTCTATTTTTAATTTTTTGAGGAACTTGCATACTGCTTCCATGGTAATTGCAGCAATTTATATTCCCACCAACAGCGCACAAAGTTTCCTTTTCCTCCATCCTTCCCAGCACTTCTTATTTCTTGTCTTTTTGATTCTAGCATTCTGGCAGGTGTGAGGTGATATCTCCTGGTGGTTTTGCTTTGTATTTCCCTGATGATGAGTGATGTTGAGCACCTTTTCATATACTAGTTGGCCATTTGTATGTCCGCTTGTTTGTAAATTTTGGTTACCACTGCTGTTATTCACTTGTATTTTGGTTACCCCCACTGGTGTTAATCACTTGTATTTTTAAATTTTTTTTCACAGTGAAATTTTCCATAGCTTAATTATTGTTTTACTCTTTCTTCCTTTTATTTTCAATAATACTTTACCTGTATTTTATAGATTACATAACTACCTTGAATTTTTTTTTTTTTTAGTATATGACAGTATTTGACTTTGACATACCCACTTAATCTTTAAGTACAGTATATATTAGGCAAGATAGGTAGACTCATCACCTTTGTCAGATGAGGCGTAGAGAATAAGGAGCTTTCTCAGAGTCTCGTGGGTGGAAGGCAAGTGGCTGTGTCATGGCTCTAATTCCAGTTTCCCAAGTCCTGGTTCTGTTTCCTTACAGTGGTCCCCACCCACCTTGCCTGTCTCTCTAGTTCTTTTGTGTTTCAAAGAAAAACATGAAAACAGAATCTAGAAGTGATTTGTGAATTTCATTACCAGAGATCAAAAGTTCTTTTCCCTTCAGTTGGCAGAAGGTCTGTTCCATTGCTGGCCAGTGTTTATCTGTAACATGATGTGTCTCTGTGGTATCAAACTGAGTGAAAAATAGCTCCTGACTCTGTTAAATTTCTGTTCAGTTGGCACTTTTGAGATTTTCTTTCTTTTCAAGTTACAAAACATACCATACAGAGAAAAGAGTCTATCTCATGCTTAGTCTAAAAATAAGTATTATTTTAATGTAATTTTATCTGTAGTTTGGGTTATTTATCCTGTTGCTTGGATTAGATCACAGTTTAACAGATTTAGGTTTTTCTTGAGAGAGCTATAACACATCATTCTACATTATGCACAATAATATGATCTTTCAAGAGGACATATGTTAACTTCATGTGTATTGTTTTGTTATTTTTAAACTTTCTCAGGTCTTTGACACTTTGAATTCAGCTGAGTTAATCTGTCTGATGAGACATATATCAATACCTAAAAACTTTAGTGTTGAATGCATGGTTGCTACAAATCATAACAGCAAGAATGCAAGCATCTGGCTGGGCTGTGGGCACCGTGATAAAGGACAGCTCTTATTTCTCGACTTAAATACAGAAAAACACACTCCTGAGGTAAATTCAAGTACCCTTTAAATTACAGATACTTTAGAAAATTTATTTTGTGGATGACTTTAAAGCATGTGTCAGTTAAAAAAGTTATTTTGGAAGAAATTAAATGAAAGCAATATAGGAGTATTATTTAGCTTTCTGGTAGAAACAGAGTATTTACATGAAATTAAATAGGCTGTGTTTTGTTTTAAAAGCATAGTATATGTGTGTCTTAGGTCCGGATTCCTAGAAATAGTCTAAGACAGAGTTTCTTGTACAAGTGATTTAAGGAGAGAGTAACTTTTAAGGAAGTGAAGGAAGTCAAAAAGAACAGGGGAAGAGATTCCACACAAATGTAGTTTCTGAGGAAATCTACCCTCCATCTTTAGCCATGAGAAATTCTGGGGTTTGAATAGCAGCACAGATTGATCTCTGAAGGGAGTCAGTCTTTCATTCCCACATAGCAGTCAGTCATTGGCTTCAGTCTGTCCAAGGATGGGTGTGATGTCACCTCCCAGCCATTTCCGGGCAAGCTAGCCCCCCCCATCAGCGAAGGGCAGTTCTGCAGTGGAGGGTGCTGCTCTGAGCCGTTAGTAGCCAGCACTCAGAATGGGAGGGGGGTGCATGCACACACATGACTGACAGAGGAAATCTGAGCCCAGCTTTACAAGATGGATCAATAAATTGTATTAGCAAATAAAAGATAAATTTCTAGACTTACAAAATAACCTAATATTTTGACTGTTGCCTTGAAATAAAGGTTATGCCTAATTATTATTCTTAAAGTTGAACAATCCCTTCATATTATTTTGATGGAGTGAGAAATAATGATACCAAAAAACAAATTTCAATTTTAATTCTAGTTTCCGATGCACTTTAGAAGGGCAAAATTGTTTGCCAGTTAATTCATTTATTGTTGAAAGTTAAGTAAAATTGGCATTGTTTTTAAAATTAAAAGCAAGAGAATAAAATGAGTTAAGTGTCTGGATAACAGTATTTTCATTCTATTCATATTCTAGTTACTTAAGCTTGAATCAAGTTCTTCAGAGTGTGTTTTCTTTTCTTCTTCTTTTTTTTAAACAGGAAGTTATTGATAGTAGAATACTGTGCCTGGCTTTGGTGCCTCTTCCTGTGGAAAAGGAAAGCTGGATTGTGTGTGGGACACAGTCTGGCATGCTCCTGGTCATCAATACCGAAGATGGGGAAAAGAGACATACCCTTGAAAAGATGACTGATTCTGTGACTTGCTTGTATTGCAGTCCCTTTCCCAAGCAAAGGTGCTGTAGTGAATTTGAACTTTGGGAGAAAATTACATACCTTTTATATGACTGAATTGTGTGGAAAACTGTTATTGCTTCAGCAAAAACTGCTCATTTTTAACATATTTCTATTTATTTGCATATTTTAAAGGGCATTGTGGGAGGCCACAACGATATTCTTACAGCTCGAGCTGCGGCCGTTGTTATAAAACAGATCAGTCCCTTCTTCAGGCCAGCCACACCTACTGCTGGTGATACTTCAGCCCTGGTCTATTTCTTTACCAGCCCTCACATCAGTTTGCTTTTCTTTGTAGGGCCTCTTCAGGGATGACTTTTTCTTTATCCTTTTTTTGAATATTAATAGCCTGTTATGTGCTGGTTTAAAACATATCAGTTCACTATCAAATTGAGAAAATATCCAGTAAATGAATTCATAAGTTATTAATAGGTGAAAATGACTCAAGCATTATTAGTTGTGGGGATCTCATTTCAAAGGAATTTATCTAAATGGCAGGATTGCAGGTGTGAGTCACAGGCTGATTGCTATAATACTTGGGGGAGGATGATTTCCAGGAGCCATTAAGATTATACCCCATGTATTACTCGGGTTTAAGTCAATACTGGAAAATAAATATTAGAAAAAATGTGAAACTAAAGTTTTTGGCAGCTGAAATAGAAACTCCACTGGCCGTTTTGGAGTTGAAATTATTTGGATATCGTCAAAGAAAAATTTCATCAGATGGCATTAAATAGGCAAGGAAGACTTTATTTAAGCTTATTGCAATAAGGGACAGAGATTGAACTCAGCTCTCTCTGCTGAAACAAAAGGTGGCAGAGTTTTTAACACTGGGATGAGCTAGTAGAAGAGTACTGGAGGACTTAATATGTGGGGGGGGGGGTCAGTGTGATTAGGCCATCTGTGTTTGCTAATTGTTGCTTATTTTATTTTATTTTATTTTTTATTTTATTTATTTTATTTTATTGTTCATTATGTTCAGTTAGCCAGTGTACAGTACCTCATAAGTTTTTGATGTAGTGTTCAACGATTCAGTGGTTTTGCGTTATTGAAGTTAAGCTCCTACCCTCCCAAGAGACTGGGAGATGGGGCCCTGCCTTTCTTGATGATTACATTTCAAAAGGAAGGCTCCTAGTTCCCAGAGACACATACCTGGGCCTGGGCTGTAGAACTGACAAGAGGCTGAGGGGTTACATCTCAAATGGGCAGAGCAAGAATTTACAGCTGTTCAGTTTTCTAAATAAATGCCGTAAGAAAAGGGATGTCAGGGGCCCATAGTCACGCAGAAACCTGTCTAAAGTTTAGTCAGCTTTAGAGGGGAACGTTATGGCCATCTTGGTCAATATCACCATTCTTTTTATAACAATTTTGACATTTTTTCTTTTAGCAAGCAAAAAAATTTTCTTCTGGTGGGAACTGCTGATGGCAATTTAGCAATTTTTGAAGATAAAACTGTTAAGGTAAATGTTGAATCCATTCTACATCAAAAATTGTTTTAAGTTATTTGTTTTATGTATGCTTATTCCCACCCCTCTTCTAAGTGACATAAACTCCCTAAGAGCAAGGTCAGAAATTCTGCTTTTCATCTTCTTTTCCTTTTTTTTCATCTATTGCATACAATAGATCCTCTATAAATACTTGTTGACTATACATTTTATATGAATGAACTAAGGATAAAATGATAAATGAGATCTGATTTAAAATGTTAGTAATGAAAATAATTCTATTTTTATATAAATGAAGTGATAATTCCTTATAAATATATTGTGGAAAAAACAAAACTTAAGTTTTAAATCTGGCTGGCCACCAACTTTTTCTTTAGTCTGGAAGAAATCATATAACTTTCTGTTCTTCAGATTTTCTTTAGTCTGGAAGAAATCATATAACTTTCTGTTCTTCAGATTCTCATTTATCAATAAAACATTTATTCTTTCCTCCATCCAGGCATCTGTGGTTCCATCTATTTATCCAACATCCTACCCATTTATACTCCTTGTTATCAAAAAGCTGATTATCTGATGAGAGACAAACAAGTAGAGTATAATCCCTGAGTTATTTCCTGTAAATTTTTTGCATGGAGAAGTACAGAGATTGGTTTGCATTCCACTTGAATTGAATCGTGTTTTCATAAATCCTTTGAAAAATGTATCTTGAATTTTTATTTTAAGACCCCTAGCCATTTATGATGGAAAAGTAGCTTTTAGAAAGCACAGCAAATTATACAGCATTTCCTTTTGCAGATACTCAGTTTAATGAATGTGTTTCTCTTCTTGGCAAAGTGTAAAGGAGCCGCTCCTTTGAAGATACTAAATATAGGAAATGTCAGTACTCCACTGATGTGTTTGAGTGAATCCATGAATTCAACTGAAAAAAACATTATGTGGGGAGGATGTGGTACAAAACTTTTCTCATTTTCTGATGATTTCACCATTCAGAAGCTCATTGAGACAAAGACAAATCAGCTGTAAGTTATTTCTATCTATACAATTAATTTACTACTTTATTCATGTTTATTCTCTTTATAATCATATCAATAATGCTATTGCAATCCAAGTAAAAATCTTTTAAAATGCATAATTTATTTTTCTATTAAAGATATCACCCAGCCTCATCATGTTTGGGATAAAATATGAAAAACCATGATAATCTAGTAGTATTTATCAATCTAAATTTTTAACAATTTCATTATCTCTGTATCAAATTAAACATGAATTTGATAGGTGATAAATTTAGCAGTATTTTACTTCATCTGTGGGTTTTACATATGTGTTTTGGATAACTTCCATTAAATGTTGATTATAAGAAACATATGCCTCAGGAATAAAGTCATCTCTAGATTTGATAATTACACAGATGTCCTCTATACAGGAAAGTTAATGATAGCCACTTTCAAGTGAAAATAAACTATAAACCTTGTACCAATTTGTTGTTTCAATATTTAGAGTTGCATTTTAACCAAATCATTGCAGTTGGTTCTTCTGTATTACATTCCTCAGGGAGAAGCAGCGTAGGTTGGTGGATAACAGCATAAATTGTAGTTCAGATATTGGCTTTGCCATGTATTGATTATGTAAACTTGGGCAAGAACTTCTTAAATACCCAGTCTTCTCTAACCTGAGAATTGTAATATATTCTATCTCAAAGGGATGTTTGGAAGACTAGACAAAATTAATATAGGGAGCTAACAGAATGCCCAGGACTTGGTAAGCTCTAGTAAATATTAGTTATGATTATTAATCGCTTTGAGTCACAAATCCCTATCTTGGAATATCCTGGTTTCTCAATATCTATCCAGTTGCCCAAGACCAAAAGTCTGGGAGTAATCCTTGACTCCTTTGTCCTTTACTCCCTTTGTCTACTTAACTCTCCTTCTAATCGACTCTCATATTCTTGTATTTCTCACTTTTCCTACTGCTGCTTCCATGGGGCAGGCTGTCATCCACCATCGATCACCATGTTATCAAGAGCATTTTTCTAACCAGTTCTCAACCTCTGATTGTGCTCCGTTTAGTCCATTCGCAACATTGCAGACAGAGGGGCTCTTCTAAAATGCAAATCAATCTGATGTCAGTCTCTTGCTTAAAACCCCCAGTCAGGTCCCATTGTCCTTTACATGATGTTCAGATTTCTTAAGAGAGCTTACCAGACCCTTGCTTCCCTCTCTAAATTAATATTTTGCAGCCTCCTTGCCCTCTGTGCTTTAGCCAAACTGAAATCATCTCAGTTCTCAAAGACAGCTTTGTTTATTTCCCTGGCTCTATATTTAAACTAGGGTTCTCCCTCTCTTGGATGATGATTGTGTTCCCTGCTGAGTTTAATTCAGATGTCACTTCCTCTGAGTGGTGGTGTCTGATTCCACCTGTGCAGATTAGGTGCCTTGGATTTGTTCTCCCATTGCAGCTCTTATGTCCCTTCATTGTTATAAAAGAAGTTTCAAAAATGTTTTCCTAATAATACTAAACCTACTGGTTTTCAGCTTGGTCCCACTTAGAAACCACTAGGTAGCTGAAAATAATCTTCTGCCTGGGACTCACCTCAGACAAATTAAATCAGAAGAATTCGTCATGGGGTGGAGCCCATGTGTCAGTATTTTTCTTTTCAGGCTCTCAGGTGATTCAAAAGTAGAGTTGGGGTTCAGATACATTGCTATGTATTGTAGGTTCTCGTGGGTGAGGATTTTTGTTTTCTGTCATGTTCACAGATTTGTTTCCTAGTGTGTGGTATGTGGTACATGTTTGGATAAACTTATTCTTATTCTGGAATTTCCACTTTTAACCAACCTAAACAAGCCTGAAAATATTTAAAAAGAAGGGCCTCCAGTTTTTCTTTTTTTAATTTCATAGAGCATGTTATGAGATCATGGGTATCGATCCCCTACATTTCCATGTAAGATTTGGAGTATAAACACTTTCCCAGAGAGATCACTCATAAACATGAAGCTTTCAAAGCTGCTCACCTCCCAAAAGAGATTAGGACCCAGTTTCATAGACACATGGAAATATTTACTCTCTTCTCAAAACGCATCTCCTGTTGCCTTGGTCTCTCCCTGGCTAAGCAGATACCACATCGCTAATTAGATGCTGCCTCATCCTCACTGCCCTCCTTATTCCTCGGTGCACACTGACAGAGGCATGACAGGGAGTAAAAGATGATGGGGCCTCTGGAGCCATGGGCCTCCAAAGACTTGCGTAGAGTCCTCCTTCTGTACCATGCCAGTCATGTGGCCTCGAGCAAGTTATTTAGCACTTGTAAGCTTTCTGTAATTACAGACATTGAGATTTGTAATATTTTATAAGATTTTTACTGAGGATCAAATAGGATAACACACAAAAATATTTTATAAATTCTAAAACTATGGAACATTTGGACTAGTTTGGCTCTCTTCTGTTAAATACAGCAAAACTCAGGGAGGAATTGCCTAAAATGTAGCAGCTGTCTGGCAACACGTGTTTTTGCCTCCTTCGCCAGGACAAGAAAGATGGAGGAAAAAAGTCTTCCTACCCTAGGACAAACTAAAGATTTTTTTACACCCTGTGACATTTTCATGTCATTTATCTGATTGCATTGCAACTTTAACCATTTTAACTTTTTCGTGGTTGTTCATTCCTTCTGTTAGTTCATTCCTCATCCATCCATTCTTCTGTCCATCCACTTCACAGACTGCCTACTTTGTTAACCAGGCATTTTTCTAGATAGATACTCACCCGTCTATCACTAGATAGATAGGTACTTGGTGACTCTTCACTGGATTGCAGTTATATAGAAAATACATGGTCCTTGCCCTTAAGAAATCACATTTACAGTCTAGTGTCAGGGATGTACTAATTAATAAATGCAATTTTACATTTCATAAGCTCTAAAGTATTACAGCTAGTACCAGTGCGGGAAAGGGAATGACTGGTGTATTTTGATAGGTCAGGGATGAATTTCAGAGGAGCTGACTTTTAAGTTAAGCCTCAAGGACTAACTAGTAGGAGTTTGCCATGAAGATAGGGCCTATGGTAGCCAATCTGTATGCAAGAAATGAATAGTAGTGACATTCTTTCTTTCCCTCTAGGTTTTCTTATGCAGCTTTCAGTGATTCCAACATCATAGCGGTGGTGGTAGACACGGCTCTCTACGTTGCTAAGAAAAATAGCCCATTTGTGGAAGTACGGGATAAGAAAACTGAAAAACTCTTTGAACTAATAGACTGTGTGCACTTTTTAAAGTAAATTAATTGTTTTTTTAATTGTATTTTATTGTGGAAAGAATATAATGTGACATTGATCCTCTTAACAAATTTTTAGGTGTATAACATATTGTTGACTGTAGGTACAATGTCATTGGTTCTTTATTTTATGCTTGTAAGAGCTGTCTTTACATTTCAGATTTCACAGAGAAAGGCAGTATGACTAATAGTACTTTGTTTCTACCTCTAACTAGAAAACTAAACAAACAAAAACTCAGAAACAAAATTGTTATTGCTTTTTAGCACAATCTCTTGGTATCTAGCAAATTTCATTTTGGAAAAAAAAGAAACATAATGTATATGGTTTCTTCAAAGTATTACAAAGAATATTCTCTAATGAAAAAACAGTACATTATTGAAAGTGATCATACTGGATTCATTGCTGATGGTACATCTAGTGATGTTACAGTATCGATGTTTCCTACTCTTTTAAAAAAGATTTTATTTATTTTAGAGGGAGAGAGAGAGTGGGAATGGGGTGAGGGGCAGAGGGAGAGAATCCGAAGTAGATGCCTCGCTGAGTGCAGAGCCCGACATGGGGCTCAATCCTATGACCCTGAGATCATGACCTGAGCGGAAACCAAGAGTTGGATGCTTAACCAACTGAGCCATCCAGGCAGCCCTCAAAGTTTACTACTTATTTTATCCTATAGGTCCAAGGATACTTTGCTCTCAAGTCACAAAACAATTTTAAAAATGGGGGATAACCTACTGGACTGGCCAGTGCACTAAGTCCCTAAGGACGAAGGGTCAAGACACCAGACTGACAGCCAGTTCTTAGTCTGATCCAGCATGTCAGACACAAATCTCAGACTTCAAATCAAACACATCTTTTGTGTGCTGCTGCTGGGAAACAGGACCACTGCCAGCCTTATTTGCTAGCCGCTTTATATTTTTTCTTTTGTTTTGTTTTTACTATGTAGATTTTTTATACTCTGGAAAACACTTAGATTATGCCCTATGTCTATAAAATGAGACTTCAAAGTTTACTCTCCTAGAATCTTTTCGTTTTTCTCTGGATGGTAAGGCGATTTATATTCTGAAGTGCTGGGAGTTCTGGCTGGTAAAGACTCCCTTACTTCCTGAAGTTCTAGAAGAATTAGAGTTCTTTTATTTCTCGACACCTCATTTTTGTCATGAATTATTCATTGGCTCAGGGACGAATTTAGTGGTTGGTATTGATATCTTATACAGGCAAATGACTACAATTTAATTTTCCTTTGTAAATTTTAGACTTCATGGAAAGCTTTTGAAAGTAACTTTTTCTATTTATATTGGGCAAATTTATTCTTTTTTTTACTGAATTACATAGGCTTGTTATTTATAAAAATTATATCCATTTTATGTACTTCAGAATTTATTGAAGTTAAGGGGCTATGGTTGTGTTATCTTTGATAATTTGTTTCAAGTAGAGAAGCTACTTCGGCATTCTGTATTTAACAAAACCAGTTTTGTAGGATTTTAATGATATATAATGTATATTCTCATGTATTCATAGTTTAAGATGCTGTATATATTATTTATATGTAGATATACATCTATTTTATCTCTCAGTTGTTGATAAAACTATTAATGCATACTTTATGGTTTTAGGGAGGAAATGGTCAAAGTAAATGCAGAATCAAAACACAAACTGTCTTATTCTGGGAGAGTGAAAACCCTCTGCCTCCAGAAGAACACTGCTCTCTGGATAGGAACTGGAGGAGGCCATATTTTACTTCTTGATCTTTCAACTCGTCGAATTATACGTATAATTCACAATTTTTGTGACTCTGTCAGAGTCATGATGACAGCACAGTTAGGTAAGTTTCTCTCCTTTAGATCTTTTCTCGTATTGTCTGAGATTATAAAAATATGCTTTTATTTTTAATTTTTCTCTCACTTTCCAATGTCATTTGAAGTGTCTTGGTCACAAAATGAAACAGGAGTGGGAGAAATTTGGAATGGGTCATTAAAAAAACAGAGAGAGTAGATGCTCTCAGTCCCATAGAGAAGCAGATTATTGCGGTTGAGCACTAAATTTGCATCTTACTTTTTATACCTAAGGCAAAAAGAGGAAATAGATAATGTTGATTATTTTTAAATTTTAACCAAAGATATTAAAGCAAATGTTTATTTTGATCAGTTTAAGCTTCCCACCCTTGTTAAGTTTGGTTTTTCATCCTATAAGCAAATTTATATTCTTGTAACAATATATGCTGAACTCTACAATGTGCAAGTATTGACAATCATGATGTTTTACACAAACTTTGTCTTTTCTTGCTCTTATTTTTCTATTTAAATATGAAGAAATCATAACAGCATGTGAAATATGTTTTCTACATAAATACATTCCATTGTCTTCTTTTAACTAATTATTTGGCTTAGAGTACAGTATTAGCATATATGCAAAGTTGATCATGAAAATAACATAATGGGATTAAGTTCTGCGAAACTAGAGTTTATATAACTTGAGCAAATACATCATAATGTGTTTGACAGGTGAAGAAAATAGTAAATTCCTTTTACAGGAATATATTAAGCAATGACAAGTGTATCTCCTTACTCTCACCCAGTTTTTGTGAATGGATGTTGGAGTTGCACAGAAGGAGTGAGATTAGGTGCTGTGAGTGCCTAGTTAGCTATCAGGATACATGTCCACGCAAGCAGAGCAGTAGGTGTCTAGTGGTTTGTCTCTCTAGTTTTATTCTACCAAGGTTGTTCCAACCTCTGATTTAATTCGTATGTACTTTAGGACCCAAGTGGTTGTTCCTTATTGACATTATGTGGGATTTCAGTGGGTTTAATTGATTTTTAAAATAAAGATAAATTTAAACAGAATCTACAAGGTGTGGCAGGCACAATGTGGCTTCACCTCACCTTCCTAGCTTCTGCCCGTTACCACATTCCTCCCAGCGCTTTCTGCTCTAGAATATTGTTCAGTCCCTCTGAAATACCGTGCTTCATACGGCCACAAGGTTTTTCATGTGCTGTTTCCTTCTTGGCTTATTTAACTTAAGTTAATGTAATTAACTAAGCCAGGAAGATAGACTAAGTTAACTCTTTCTTCAAAATGGCAGTTCATATACCAAACCCCTGAGAAGTCAATAATGATGAGGTCAAACTTCTTTCTTGGGGGCTCTCATAACATCTCTCTTGCATAGCATTGGTCCTGGTCATGGATTTTTTAAATTAATGTCAATTTCCTCACTAGAACTAAACTCCATGTGGGTTGAGTTTGCATGTGTTTGTTTACCCCTTTACTGCTAGGGCCTCTCTAAGGCCTCTCAGCGAATGACTTGAGAAGAAAGTATGGCTCAGTGACAGACTCTCAGTATATACATCCATCCAATTCTTTATCCAAGTGCTTCACATTTGACTAGTGGCAAATCACCTTCATGCACATGATCTCATTTAATATTATAACTTGGACTGTATAAACATTAAACCCGTTTTTCAAAGGTTAAATTGTTTTCGCAGATTGACACAATTTATAGGAATTATAGCAAGGAGTAGATCACAAATTTTTGAACATTAAATAATTGCTTGTCTTGGAGAGTTTTTATTCAATATAATTGAAGTGTCTCCTAAAAAGTAGAATTATAAAGTAAGTTCCAAGGACTTTTTAAAGTCCAACTTAATATATTGTTTTAACAGAAGACTCATATTTTTTTAAAGGAAGCCTTAAAAATGTCATGCTGGTTTTGGGGTATATCCGGAAAAGTACCGAAAGTACACAATACCAAAAAGGTAATGTTTAATAAGATACTGTATTCCAAACACATTGCAATGACATTGATGATTATAACATGTTATGTGTTTTATACATTTATAATAAATATAACATATGCTATAATACTTCAAGCAGTTTTAATTGGTAGCTTCTTTAGAGTGTAAATAATTTAAACATAAATCTTCAAAATTAAGTTTCAGTGATTTAGCAGTGTTAAGTATTTTTTGAAATGAAGTAGAAATACCAACCACTATAAAATGAGAACTAGCCCACATTTAAGCTAAATGTGGATATTTTTCCTTACAACTTACCAATATCCATATTAGGTCTGATTTTGAACAGTGTTTGAAAAAATGATTTCTTTCAAAAAATGAAATGTTAGATTATTAAAGGTCCATACTCTTTTTGAAATGTAGTAGTTCCTGTAAGATATTTTAAACATTTTCCAAATGGAGTTTCTTATAAATAGCAGTAATTTAGTGCATTATTTTTAGCTGTATTTATATATATATTTGTACAAGACAACTAAATATAAATGAACAAAATTGAAATAAAATAAAAATGCCTTATGGACGATCTTTGAAACATGGTTTCTTTATTTTTCTTTTGTAGAGATACAATCTTGTTTGTCTGTTTGGGACATCAATCTTCCACATGAAGTGCAAAATTTAGAAAAACATATTGAAGTGAGAAAAGAATTAGCTGAAAAAATGAGAAGAATATCTGTTGAATAAGAGAGATATTGGAGATCTCTGTCTTTGGATGGGAAGATTATTCTCTTGTAAATATTTCTTTAAAAATGTTTACATATGAAAAGGGTTCTTCCACTTTTTGAAATAGCTCATGTGTATATGAGGGAATTTATATATATTTTATTTTAAATATAAATATGTGTAAAAATAATTATCAGTGAAAATATGTTTTGAAGAACTATTTAAAATACAACATTATATTTCCTACACATCCTAATTAATTTTGTGGATTAAGTAATGAAAGGAAATCTAAAAAGTACATAATTGCAGGAGTCATACTAAAATTTACAAAGTGACTAATTTTGTTGCTGTTATCCGTAAGGAAAGTAAACATTATTTAAAATTCTGTGCTTAAACAAGACTGTTGTTTGATTACTTTCTAGGTATTCTGCAAAATAGAATCAAACTGTTAGACCCATTTCACATGTAATACATTCCTTGTTAGATTGCTTTTAAATGCAGCTATCACATAGGCTTGTAAACCGTCAATGAATTTTCACTAATAAAGCCCTTCATTGGGATGTGCATTCTCTTCATTGCTGATTCAAACAATGCATTTCATGCAACCTCCTTCCATCTGGAAGAAAATGTCATGAAAAGTGCTGATGAGAAAATGTAGCATATTGTTGTCATAGCCAGGAAAGACACAGTCACTTTCTCTTTTCCTATTTTGCAATTCTATCTTTGAATGTGGATACCCTGAAATTTGTATAATTGGTGTAAATACAATGTTCAGTCTTTGAGTGATATTTTTGATGTTTTAATTTGGATTCTCAGTGGTAAGCCAGACCTCTGGTTACTCATTCCTAATCTCTGCTCTAACACTTCTACCCATCTTCTTCCTAAATTTGTGACTCTGCACATCCTGCATCACTCAGGAAAAAAACCACATTTCCAGAATTACAGGATTCCACAACTCCCATTAGGACCATGGGCGCAAGTATGTTAACACTTTAGTTTGCTGAAGAAGGAAGGAGCTTCAGGCTATGATGGGTAAAAATACTTGCTAACCTAGTCTCCTAAATTATACCTAAATTGTTTAAATATCTTCCCACAGTAGGAATATCAGGGCCAAGTATCCAGGAAACAATTTGAGTGCTGTTTCTGTTTTAAGGAAAAACATTTCTGGTAAATTCATTGGCCCTGGCCAATATTCATAATTTCAGACAATTCCCTGTGATAGGATAACCAGTCCATTTAATATTCTCAGAACTGACTGATGTTGTGTTATAGGATGATTTTTAAAAAAATGGAGGAGTTTGTTCCTGTGATATTTCTCATTGTTACTTTGTATTTATTGCAATTTTTTACAAAGGTAATTATGAAGAAATATGTAAAATGAACATTGTATTTAAATGGAATAATAAACATTTTTAAAGCATGTTTAAGAATTTTAAAACTTTGTGATGTTTTATTTTTCACGTATAGGTCTATAATATGAAATTTTGCATTAATGTGTGTATGAGATACATAGAAAATGCTAACTAAAGTTTTCTCTTGAGGATTTATTCAGTTTTCTATAGTACACGTAGATTCCAGGATCCCAGGATAAAAGCTGATAGGCCTGATCTATTTCATTTTCAAGTTTTCATAAAAATTTTCTTAAGTAGGATTATTCACTCTTGAGTACAGAAAAAAATGACTTTAGAACAATTTATAAAAAAATTGACAGTTACTTTAAGTTTTTTTCTGGCTAGAACCCCCAAATAAGCTACTAATCTTTATAAAAGCGTAAGCATTTATATTAATAGAAAATATTTTGGAGAGGAAGTTTAAATTTAAAAAGGGAGCCCCGGTTGGGACACCTGGGTGGCTCAGTCGGTTAAGCATCTGCCTTCGGCTCAGGTCATGATCCCAGGGTCCTGGGATGGAGTCCCACATCAGCCTACTTGCTCAGCGGAGAGCCTGCTTCTCCCTCTGCCTGCCCTACCTGACTCTTCCCCTGCCTGTGCTCTCTCTCTCTCTCTGACAAATAAATAAATAAAATCTTTAAAAGGATTAAAAAAAAAAAAAAGGTAACCCCCAGATCTAATTCTGGCAAGCACTATGGATTATGTGTGAACTACTTTAAGTAAAATTCATCTTATTTTTCATCAAGACTGTGACATAAATTGATGAAACAGCAAAAACAACAAAAAAATTTTGAGAACTTTTCTAAATTGAAGATACTGAGAGTAGATAATGTCTAAACCTCCTGGGACTTTGCATCTTTATGTAATCCATCACTGTATGTAACTCAACACCTAACTTGGGAAACTTAATGCTTTTGCTTTTCATAGACACTCATCAGCAATATAGTAAAATCTTAAACTTTGCCAACTCATGAGAAATTGAAATTCTCATTCTCCATCTGGCCAGTTTCCCAACCTTGGGACCATTGTTGCCAATAACAATTCAGAATCTGGCTGTTTAAAAGTACACAGGTACTTGCTTCATCCAATTCCTCAAGGTATTTGGAGTATTCTTGGCACCTTCACGTTCGGTTGGGAGCCAGGTCTGCAGTCTGAATGCGCTGTAAGTGTGAGCAGAAACATGGCTCTCCCTTTGTGCTGGACCTCTCCCTTCCCTTGGTTTACAGGCTCACTGGGAAGTCTCTGCTAGGGGGATTCTCAGCCTAAGACAAAGAGTAGGGAGAGGGATGGGTCATGGGGGGATACTGCTTGGCCTCCAGAGATTCCACTGTCCCATGGCAATAGGGCCTAGGCAGACTTCATGGAGTACGTTATTTGTGTCACTATGACTAATCTGAACACGACTGAGAGAGGTTATTATTATCCCCATTTACTTCTGAAAATACAAACTAGCAGATAAATGCTGTGTTAGAAGTATTACGGGACAAAACAAATGATCATATGGGGAAATAAGGAGAGAGAAAAACCAAGAAACGGACTCTGAACTATAGAGAACAAACAGATGGTTACAGGGAGCAGGGGAGGTGGGTGGCGGGAATGGGTAACAGGTGATGGGGATTAAGGAGTACACTTGTGAGCACTGGGTGTTGTAGGAACGTGTTGAATCACTAGGGGGAAGAGTTGAGATGGCGGAGGAGTGGGAGGACCCTGAGCTTGTCTGGTCTTTCCGACACAGGTAGATAGTTATCAAATCATTCTGAATACCCAAGAAATCAATTGGAGGTCTGAGAGAACAGAAACTGCAAGTCTACAAGTAGAAAAGCAACCACCTTTTGGATGGTAGGAGGTGCGGAAGTTCACTTGGGGGAGACATAGCTGCGGGTGCAACGGTGGGGAGGGAGGCTGCTTATGAAGGTAAGCAGTATTACAAGCTGCGGAGTACAAAATCTGAATTTATAGATTTGCTACTGTGGGGGACGTTCCTGGATTAAGGTACACAGGTGGTGAAAAGGGGCAGAATCCCAGGAGTGACAGGGTGGTCTGAGGATCCCCTGGGCCGCGGGAAGAACAGGTGGCGCCAAAGTGCTGCGCTGTTCTCAGGCATAGGAGCCAGGAAGCCAGCAGAGAGCCTCGGATCTTGGCGCAGGCTTTCTGCTATAAACTGCAAACCGCTGTGCAATTATGGGACCCCTTTCCTGGGACAGGCCAGCAAGTGTGGGGGGACCCACCCCTGGAGGAACAGTGTGGGTCTGCGCCCTGGCCATCTCTGAAATTTGGGGTTTTGAAACACCAAAATGCTCCAGACACGAATAGCGTGAATGCAGGGGTCAGATGGAAACCGGTGAAACAAATAAGGTGATTGTTTTCTGTGAGGGCTCACTGAAGAGTAGCGGTTGTGAACTTTCAGCTCCGGGGCTAGAGAACAGGGTGCAGCCATTTTCTTTTCTTTGTTTTTTCTTTTTTCTTTCCTTTTTTCTCTTTTTCTTTTCTTTCTTCTTTCCTTTTCAAAAGATTTTATTGAGAGAGAGAACAAGCATATGGGAGAGGCAGAGCGAGACGGAGAAGCAGGATCCCAGCTGACCGGGGAGCCCGATGCGGGGCTCACTTCCAGGACACTGGGATCATGACCTGAGCCGAAGGCAGACGCTTAATCAACTAAGCCACCCAGGCGCCCCATGAGTGCAGCCATTTTCATCCCACCCATCAGTGCTGAAAGCCTTCAGAGAGCAAAACAGTGCCACTTAGTGGAAGCCAGAACTGTGTACGCCAAGCCTTGCCCCCTGTGCCCTGGAGGCACATTTCTTTTCTTTTTTAAAAAAATATTTTAAATTTATTTGACAGAGAGAGGGACGGAGAGAGAGAGAGAGAGGGAGCACAAGTAGGCAGAGCTGCAGGCAGAGGGAGAGGGAGAAGACGACTCCCCGCTGAGCGGAGAGCCTGATGCAGGACTCCATCGCAGAATCCTGGGAATCATGACCTGAGCCGAAGGCGGACACCTAACCGACTTAGCCACCCAGGCGCCCTCTGGAGGCACATTTCCCCTGAAACAAGGGAATCAGCACAGCAGGCCCTCCCCTCCCCCTCAGGAGACCTGCACAAACAACTGGCTTGCACCAAGTTTATTGATCATAGAGTGCTGCAAAGTCTTTAGCTCTAAGGGAAATAGGATCGAGCTTCGTTTTTACTTTTATTCTTTATTTCTTTTATTTTTCTTATTTTTTCATTTATTTTCTTATATTTTCCAATTT